GATTTGTTTTAATTGATCAAAGAATGGACGCACAGTCGATGCAGGGAATTTCGCATAGATTGCCAATATTCATCAAATTTGACACTTTCTACCAGGCTGAAATATATCAGAGGACATAGTTAGATATGTCAAACTCTGTTAAAAGCAATTCGAGGAAGAAGTGGTGTCCGTGACCTCAAGTGTTGGATCCAAAATTGGAACGGACAAGCATAAGTACCTAAAACACCTGACCGATACAAACTAGGGCGTCTTCTATGCCTAATCAGAAAGCTGAATTGAAAAACTTGAATATCACAGTTTTAAACATTCTTATAATTAGCTTCCAATTTCGACCCTAAAGTAAGTGAATATAAGCAAAGGATAATATTTTTGAGGTGCGTTGTCGATGAAATAGACAGATTTTCTCTATGCGGCTATCATCACTGATGGTAAAACCGGCTCGCTGATAAGATCGATGTGTCCATTTCTCTTTTTTGATTCGTTGCATAGTAAATTTTGCGTAATTAGTTTATTTTTAGTGACGTGCTTTCTTTTTATTTGTAAGTTAGTATGTAATCAACTTCCTCAGTCAATTTAGTCAACCACCATTTTCCGCACATGGCTACATTTTTCCAATTTAACCTAAACATGAAAATGTTTGTAGATGAATCTTAATTTCCGTATTTGAAGCACGTGATTCCCTTGGGAATTAAATAAGTGACAACGCAATATTTGTTAATTGCAACCCTTTTGTGTGTCGCCTGATACGCTAACAGTTTGGTAAATTCAGCTAATTAGAGATAGCAGATTGCATTCTTGAGAAGATTGAATTAAAGTTGAAGGGTTGACATTGAAACAAAGAGAAATAAATAGAACTATCAAAAAGCCATCTTTTCCAGTTCCGAGAAACCTATACATAATGACAATATTGACGTGAATCACCATCGATTCAACTGAAACTTCCGATAAGTACTGTTATCACATCATACTATCCATTAAGCCTTACGGTGGCCTGCTTAAACCTTGGGCTACCAAAATTTTCTTTCACTTATATTGCATCTGATTACTTGGATTTATTTTGTTTTAATTGTTCAATTATGAGTCCAAATCGGATTCCTTACTCTCGCGATTATTTAAATGTTTTCAACCTGATGATTAAGGAGTATATAATAACCTTAAGAAAAAGCATCATGGTGGATGGCAAAGATCCTTAAAGTGTACTCCAATGCATCAGATGACTGTTCCTGTGATTATGAGCATAAATTGCAGGTCATTATCGAAGAAGATTAATTACTTGGATGCCTTATTATGTTCAAAAATTTATCGTAATAACGCCTCAAGAAACTTGGCTCCACGATTCATATGATGACAATTCAATCTTACTGAATGGTTTCAATATGTACAGACAAGGGCAAAGCAGTTCAAGGAAGAAGAGAGGTGGTGGTGTTGCTACTTTTATCAATTCTCAGTGGTCTGTTGCCAACACCGTCTGTTTTAAATTCTCAAATGGTAATATTGACTGTATAACTGTCAAATATCGACCTACACACCTATCTAAATATAAATTCATTTTAATCGCTAACATTTATCTCACACCCTGCTGTAGCACTCCAAAACTGTCTATGTTTGCTGATGAACACACTATTTTCGCAGCCTCCTCTTTTGGGAACTCATTGTCCATAGTGACAGGCGATTTTAATCCATGCGACTACAGCTTTCTCACAGTGCTAGATCAGGAAAATGTCGTCAACTTTCCCACCAGACTGGATACTTCTTTTGATTTTGTATTTATAAATGACTGTGGAATATACGAAGCTCGTAAAACAGCCCCATTTTTAACTCAGATCATTGCATTGGACGAGTTTTACCTAAAAGTAACACAGTAGAACTTTTTCTCACCTTTCCAAGAAAACTGTACATCGATGTTACTCTTTGGAGAATGTTCAGAATCGTAGGGACATGCTCAAAGACACAAGGTGGGACCTGTTTAATGAAGACTCTCTTGATGACACAATCTCTAATATTAAAAGTTATCTCAAATTTTGTCTTGACACCTGTTGTCCCAGAGAAACGCTCTTCATCAGATTTGACCGTTTCTCCTCCCCTCAACATAAAAAGCTTCGCAGACAAAAATAAAAGCTATATAAATGAAGGACAATACTGGTTTGAAAAGAATTAACATCCAAATAAAATCTGAAATGCACAGGTTGAATTCAATTTACAACCAAAAGTTTATATCCTATAAAAATGCGTCTATTATATGGAAACTTTTCAAAGAAATTACTGATGGTAAGCAGATGAATAGTATTCCTTATTCATTTGATGTTTGCACACTAAACAAGTCTTTCATATATTCTCCCACAAATGTCAAACTTTCTGTTGTTACACAAATTAATGAAACCTGCTTCCCCGGTTTCAATACAAATGATGTTCAAAAATGTTTCCAGTCTCTGAAGCCTTCTTGTAGCCTGGGCCAAGACGGTTAGCCTAGCGTTATTCTTAAAAACTGTGCAGACGTCCTGTGTTATCCTCTCATGGACATATTCAACGAATCTTTTTGCAGAAATGTCGTGCCAGCTGTTTGGAAGAACATCAAAATTGTACTTATCCCTAAGTCGTCTAGTGGAACATGTTTTAAATTTAGACCTATTGCGATTACGTCTCCTTTTCTAAGGCTATGGAAAAGTTACTCTTACTTAATCTTCAGCCTTCACTTAAAACCTTTAACGATCTCAAACAATTCGCTTATAAATACAGAAGAAGTACTTTAGGTGCTGTTGCAGTCTTGTGCCATGACATTGTCTCCAGCTTAAACAAGGGGCCTAAATTTGTTCGTTGCACCTTCCTAGATTACACATCTGCTTTCGACTAAGTAGCTAGGGACATTTTGTTAAACAAGCTGGCCGAAACTCAAACTGACTGTTGAGTTGTCAAATGGCATTTTTATTTCTCAGGAAGAAAGCAGTACATTGTATGTCTTGGAAAGTCGTCCACTTCTTTTCTTACTGAGGCTGGTGTCCGTCAAGGTGCTGTCCTTTCTCCTTTTCTTTTTGCTTTTTTCTTGCATGATTTGCCTCACTCTGATGAAATGAACTTTGTTAAGTATACTGATGATCTAACTATTTCAACGTCTGTTAACTCCCAGCTTGACTGTGCTAAAATGAACAGCTTTCTATCAGGAATAAGCAAATGGTCTTCGTGTAACGGCCTCAAATTAAACCCTTCCAAATGTCAGACTGTTAGTTTCAGTTTCCGATGTAAACGAAGGTTAAATGAAACCGTTGGTTCCTATGACCCTTGCAAAATTGATGACACTGATATAGAAATCAAGTCTGAAGTTAAGTATCTTAGATTAATTCCTTCTTCTGACATATCCTGATCTTCTCATTTCTCAGCGACTTCCAAAAGATTAAACGTCTGACTTTTTACATTAAGAAGTTGAGGCACTCAGGCATAACTCAACCCCTCCTCTTACAGTTTGTCAACTCGCGTATTTTACATATTCTTCTTTACTGTTTATTCTTATTCTTCCCTGGATTGCTTAAAAAAGACGATGTCATACTTCGTAGAACTCTGAAGACTGTCAGTAGGACGAGTGGTATCCCATTGGGCCATATCGTTGACATTGTCACTGAAAGGCACTTGATGTCATGCAACAAATTTGCTAAAGGAATTTTGTCAGACCCTGAGCACCCACTCTACCCGCAGCTCCAACCTTGTGTCTCCTCAGGTAAAACAAGGAGTCTTTTCATAAGAATTTACGCACGTACGTCTAAGTATAAAAATATCATATTTAGCACGTACTTTATGCGATGAAAATAGTGTCAGGCATGAACTAACTAACCTTCTTCGCACTACTAAATAAACCATTTCTTCCAACCTTACGCTACCAAACTTTACTGTTATTGTATTTCTTATATTTATAATCCTCTCAATTTTTTGTTTTTATTTATTTATTTTTCATAAGTGTGAACATCGTTTAAGCTGTGTTACCACTGTTAATCTTGTATTCCCCCTCACTATCCTATATCAACAGAACATTAGATTCAATACCCTATAGTAACATGCTAAAATTTCCAAACTGAATCGACAATAGTGTTTGAAACAAATGCACTGTTATTATTATTATTATTGTTATAATATTCAATGATCTCAATTCGTGCTTCGAATATTTTTGACTTTATATCGTAAACGTGGACAAATTCAAATACACACGTTGTGTGTAAACAATTTTTTTTTTTTTTTTTGATTTACAGCTTGATTCCACACTGCATTTTCGTACAAGTATGGAATTTTCAGCATGGATATCGGTAGCCCAAATTTGCAGGCCGACCATAGATATCAGGTGTGCGTCGGTGCGGGCTCGAACCCCGGACCATGTACATGGTCGGCGAGAGTCCTAACCACTGTGCACCGAAATATATATAAATTTTATATATATATAATTATACTTTATTTGATCTAATCCACAATGCTCAAACTTTTTACTGATATTAAGTAAACAAATTCCTCTGGTTACTTTTGTTTTGATTTTATTTATATTTTAAGTAAATCAGATGCAGTATAGAGACAAATGCTGAGAATTTCATTCTGTATTACAGGTACTGTTTTTGGAATAAAGTAAATTATTATTATTAGTGCGATGAACTCAGTACCATGGAATCAGATTAGCCATCTCCCTAACTTCATTTCCGCACTCTACGTCATTCACAAAAAGTATCGCATATATTTGATTTTATTATATTATCTAATACCGTTTAGCTGCGTAGACCAGAAATCTGACCTTCGGTGGAAGTTTTTCAACAATGAATCACATTTACCTTTAAGTTTATGTTTAACGCTAACTAGTACGTTGGAAATGAGACGCCATCTTTTGCACTTATTTACCTTTATATTTTTTTAAAAATCTTCATTAAGTGTTAATTATTTTAAAAAGAACACAATAAAAATGTGACAACATATTTGTTCACTTTGTTCGTTTCATACAATGTAAAACTGAGTGAATAGTTCTCCATCTTGTTTTAGTTGGATTTGGTCCTTCCTACAAGAGACAGAATGAAGTTTATCACTGTTGATAGTCAGTAAGATAGAAGATTAAAAAGTAATCCAATCATAATATACTCCCAATCTCCAAAATAAACACAAGCAGAAATATCTGAATGTGGTGAGAGCAGGCTGCTAGCCGATTGGTTGGCACTAATCTACGTTAAGGTCTAGGTCACTAATATGGGCCGTGAGAAAATATGAACAAGCCTGAGTCAACAACCAATCACAGCAAAGTTAACGTGGCAAAATATGATTCGCAGAGAGAACTCTATTTGTCAAGGAATCCCGAAACAACCAATCAGAAGCCTGCGTTTGTCTACCTAAACAACCAATCAGATGACTGCGCTTGTCTATAATAATGTAGTTGAAAGATGTATAAATACGTGTTGATTTTCATAATAAAACGATCTGTTGCCTGGCCCTTGTCTTCTGTTGTTACATGAATACTCTGAAAGTAAATTGAGGGATTAAATGTCAACTATTTTGTATGAATATAAAAACTGTTTACCCTTTTCATTTATAGTATAGCAGTTTAACATTCATAACTGTCAGCTATCTACAGATGCGTAAAATGTTTATCCAAACTATGACTTGAAGCTTTCGCAGTGTTGGCCTTCGTTTTCATAAACACTAGATACTTGCGTCAACGACATGATAAGTATGTAAACATAATTTTGTTTCTGTTAACTACGTTATACAAACTGTTGGATACGTGCATCAAGAAATACTGATTATAAAAATATACAGAGATACAATACTCTTTTGAAGTAAACACCAATCACATACCAACTAAACCTATATAAAATAAAACAAAGAAAACATAATCGACCTGTTGCATTGTATAATGTGTAGAGAATATATTTGATTTTTTTACAGTGAGCTACACTCGAAAAATTGGTGTGACCAAATATATCTGAAGAATAATGAAACCAGCAAACACTACTCGTAATAAGTACGAAGATATCAACAGAAAGAATTCTGATATTTAAAATTAGAATTATTCTAACAAATTTATAGTCTTCAGAACCTCTTTTGCTATATTTAACCCAATAAACAAAAAGGCGCAAAACGCAATTACTATGAGAAGAAAAAGGGATGCAAGACAAATAGGACATACATCTGGCAACTGAAATAAAAACAAAAAAAAGGTGAGAACACAAGAAGAGTGACGCAATATATTAGAATTAAGAGAAACTTCAGAAAAAATTCATACGCGAAATGTCAACGCGAAGATACACTCTACGTTTTACCTTTTATATCAGGCATTAATTCAACAAACGGAGTTGACGAATAAGTGTATTAACAATAGTTTCAAAAAAGCTTTCATAAAGGTCTGGTGCATTCCGCTTATTAAGGCAGTAAAATAAACAGGCATTTTATGAAATATACTTAACTTCAATCAACACAATATACTTCATTTCATAATCTTAAGAAACATGGAAAACACTTCATAAAATGTTAGTTCCTGAACGACTGGAGTGAGTTTCTTCCGGATTGTTGGCTCAACTCACTCAAAACTATATGTGAGAATAAAGCTATTACACGAGTTTTAAATGAACCAAGATTTGTCATATCCCACAGCGATCTATCAAATTTAAATAGTGAGTCTTACACAAATCCGAACTCTGAACTCCAGTGTTCAATTTATTATTTAATATTCACCGACTTTATATGTTCTCGAAAAATAATCAAAATACGCTTGACTACTAGAACAAAAATATATAACTTACTACTCAAAAGTATTTTAGATGTAGCTGTGGAACCTACCATGTTTTCCTGAAATAAATTATCGCGAAAATCCGTGAGAAATATGCTTGCATCAGGATAAAAAGTATGAATAGCTGCAATCTACTCAGCAGTGTTTAATGACCATGACTCATACTTGCCTTTATGTCCTGAAATACGTTTAGACAGAAAAATGCCACACTGGTAAAGTTAGGTTTCATGAAACTAATGAAATTATACGAATGTAAATCATAATATACTGTTTAAAGTGGACTTTATAGAGGATAAGCCACACTTCTCATCACAAATTTCGGGATCAGTTAATTAAATATCGTGAATGAAAGGCAGTTTTCTACAGGTGATTATTTATTCCTCTCATTCAGTGAAGCAACAAATAGTCTGGTGTATCTGTCAGTGATGGTAAACAATGAGCATCGTTCATACGGACGGGTCTCTATTTGACAGAAGACATGAACGTTACTGTTGCTCAGTTGTATACAGACTTTGCTGACAGTAACCTGTATTTTTACCTCGTTATCTGTGGAAGAATAAACAACAGTCTTCCATTTCGGCTTTCTGTTGTTCCACGTTGACTACTGTGCATAGTATTCTGCGTATGAGGCATAGACTTCTGAAACCAGCGATAGTACCAGGATTTTTGCGATCTGGATATTCGAAAATATCTGTTATGGCTTCAGCCAGCTGCCACAGAGCAAATATTCCAGGAAACAGCACAGTGCTAAGATAGTTCACTTTACTAGTGGCTTTCGAATAAGATATTTTGAGCCATTATTATCTCGGTAAGAAATCTTTTAAATTACAGTTTAGTTAATTTTGGTTAGTTTTCGAGAAAGTTAGAAATTATTTTGGATGTAAATTTCCACTGATATCGTAATTCCGTTTCATTTAATTAGTCTAGGCAGGGGTTCATTTCACATTTCAGTAGTATCAAAATAAAAAATGACGTCTAGCCAATAGTCCGCACTATAACTTCTGATCAATTTGGCCTTTAATAAAGTCTGGTAATTATTTGTATCCAACTTTCTCTACACATGCGTAAACACAACAAATAAATACTTAGAAGTGACTTTGGATCGCGGAAATGCATAACGTAATAATGCACAGTAAACAGAAGCCAGTCATCTTCACTATAATGCAAATAAACAAAATGTCAAGACTAAGATATGCAATTATTGATCAGGGTATATAGGTTATGCATTTCAAAAATATAAATTCAAACGTTAACCCAGGTTGACACATAACTGTATAAGCGAATAATTTCATAAAGACTTTCAAATATGTAATATATGCTTAACGTACTGAGGCAGTAAGAGAGAGTATACAGATATCAAGTAAACTATACATGAGCTATCGTTTGTCATGCCCACCAGTGATCTTTCAGATTTGACTGGAGTGTCGTTCACCAATCTGAGTGCTGAATTTCAATGTTCCTTTTGAGGATTCATATTCAACGCTTTCAGATTTTCGCTTTTGATACTCAAGGTATTATATTAAATCAAGTTAAATAGTATCTTACTAAAAATTAAGACGTATTTCGGATGTAGCTGTGGAACCTACCATGTTTTCCTGAAATAAATTATCGCGAAAATCCGTGAGAAATATGCTTGCATCAGGATAAAAAGTATGAATAGCTGCAATCTACTCAGCAGTGTTTAATGACCATGACTCATACTTGCCTTTATGTTCTGAAATACGTTTAGACAGAAAAATGCCACACTGGTAAAGTTAGGTTTCATGAAACTAATGAAATTATACGAATGTAAATCATAATATACTGTTTAAAGTGGACTTTATAGAGGATAAGCCACACTTCTCATCACAAATTTTGGCGCAGTTAGTTGAATATGAGAAGTGGAATCAATTTTTGAGAGTTCACCTGTGTGGTTTATGCAGTAAATTAATAACGAATCTGGTATATCTGATTATGAAGTGAGCTTACTGTTGCTATGCAACAACTGAGGAAAAACGCTAATTGCTTAGACAGTTCACTTCATTCGCTGCTTAAGAATAAAACATTTTGTGCTATTATGAATCAGTGGAATTAATAAAGCCTATGAGAAAACTTGGACAGAAGTCTATTTGCACAGAATTGATGTTTCTAGTTCGCACATAGGATGATTTGATTCAGTTTAACAGACGCTAAGGTAGTATTAATAAATGAATGACTTTTCGAGCGCTGTTTATTGTTTATAATTAGTTGATTTTAAGCTGAAAAGTTTTCAGAAAACTTCCTACACTTGTTTACGCTGCATCAATTTTCGTCAACTCAAATGCATTTGTCTAACACTGATTTTCATTAGAACACAGTGCCGAAGTTCTACATTTGAATTAGGTGTGTTTAGCCTTTTATCAGTCTCTTTTCTCATCAAAATTCCGTTTCTCATTATGCATATCTTCATTCATTCCTGATATTAGCAGTGTCAAAATTAAAACACTTTACGTACATCTAGTTGTCTACCCGATATGTATTTTCAATCTGAGCCCTATTAACACGTGAATCACAGTTGTAAGCAACTTTCACCACAGATGCCCAAGCACATTGAACAGATACTTAAAAGTGGCGTTGTATCATTAATATGTACGAAGTAATAAAGTTGAGACAGGAAAAGTTCTAGTCATTTTTAAGAAGTATACAGGAAATATACACAACGTAGACACGATATTGTAAGGATGAATCAGAGTCGGTGGATTATCCATTTCGTAACAGAAATTCATTCTTCAAAACAAGCCGTTGAACAACTAAATTTGTAACAACAGAATACAAGGGCCAAGAAACAGATCGTTTATTCAGAAAGTCAACAAATATTTATAGAATTTTATGTACATTATTATTCGTTATTGTTAGTAGAGAAGCAGCGTCTTCTGATTGGTTGTTTTCCTTGATATAAGAATAAAACTTATGCACTGTGGTAGAGTAAAATTCCATAATGGGTAAATTTTGTTTTGATAAAGTCTCACAGTGTTATACAGTAATGTTTACTGAAGACGTTTCGAGCACAATTTATTGCTCATAATCATATCAAGGTATTCACACGACTTCCTAACTTCATTTATATAGTTCCATTATTTTTCACTTGATTTTCACTTGATTTGATTGGCAGTAGTATTTTCCATATTTCAGGTATGAGTGATGACTCATTCTTATTGCATGTGTTTGGTGCAGACTCGATGAACAAGGATTCAGTAATCAACCACTCTCTACACCTATCTAGATTACTTTTCAGAATTTTAACCCTCTCCCATCCTATTGTGTGGTTATGTGTTAGTGCATGCATTGCAATTGCTGAGCTTTTTTCTAAATTACTTATCTTTTAGGGTCAACCATTCTTACCTTAGCTTAATTCTTATGTTCCGACAATCTGACTACCCCTGACCTACTAGTTTGACCTATGTAGTTGACCTCACAGTCATTGCATGGTATTTTGTAAATAATATTATTTTGTCTAATTGGTTCAGCTGGGTCCTTTAACCTACAGAGCTTGTCCCTGAGTGAGTTTGTAGGTTTAAATGCCACCCTAATTCCTACTTTATTCAGAATCCTACGTAGTGTCTCAGATGTCCCCTCTTTATATGGTATAACTGTGGATGACTTATATTCTCTCTTATTTATGTTATTATTACTAGTTTCACAATTATTTTGATTTTGTTTTTGGCCTTTAATGATCTTCCTAATGAATTTTATAGGATAGTTATTCAACACCAAAGCCTCTTCTATCTGTTTTAGTTCATCATTTAGGTCTTTTCTTGTGCTACTTAGTGCTACTGCTCGGTTTGTTAAACACTTTACTAAGCCTGCCTTAACAGTCAACGGATGAGATGAATTAAAGTCTAAGTATCTATTAGAATGAGTTGGTTTTCTGTACACACTAGTGTGTAGTTTGCCTTCTATTCGTTTTATTTTACAATCTAACATAGCTAATTCTCCTTGTTCATGTTCCTATTCAAATGTGAATTTTATTCCCTCCACTAGTGAGTTTATATGTGTCAAGATGCTAGAGATATGTTCTTTTTTTAACACTGTGAAAGTGTCATCCACATATCTCCACCATATTTTTGGAGCAGGATTAAATGTATTAAGAGCCATATGGATCAGCAGTTGCAATGCGTGCATTAACACACAACCACACAATAGGATGGGAGAGGGTTAAAATTCTGAAAAGTAATCTAGATAGGTGGAGAGAGTTGTTGATTACTGAATCCTTGTTCATCGAGTCTGCACCAAACACATGCAATAAGAATGAGTCATCACTCATACCTGAAATATGGAAAATACTACTGCCAATCAAATCAAGTGAAAATCAAGTGAAAAATAATGGAACTATATAAATGAAGTTAGGAAGTCGTGTGAATACCTTGATATGATTATGAGCAATAAATTGTGCTCGAAACGTCTTCAGTAAACATTACTGTATAACACTGTGAGACTTTATAAAAACAAAATTTACCCATAATGGTTGTTTTCCTGCTGAAGGTTATTCTATCATCTCTTTGTTGCCGTTTCTTAGATAGTCCGGTGATATATCTGCGAATCGTATTTGCACACGCTAAGTCTGCTGTGATTGGTTGTTGGGTTCCTCAAGGCTAGGCTTTGTTATTGTTTTTTCTCATGACGCGGATTCGGGATGTAAAAATTGGCATCAATTGTTGTCCACAATTTTGTCTTGCAGACAACTCTCACCACATGTCAACATATAATTTCTCCAGGCTGTTAAATATAAATAGTGCATTTCAAATACTAGTGTATTAAAACGAACAGACATTTTATTCAATATTTGACTTCAAATTTGTGAGGACAAATAACTATTACATGAGTTAAAGATAAACTATCATTGGTCTTTTCCACCAGTAACCTATCCATTTCGACTGAAGTGTTGTTTACGAATCAGAATTCTGAGTTTCAATGTTCACTCTTCCATTTCGTATTCAACTTTTTGTATAATTCAGTCATAATCAGTAATAAATTTTGTGCTCAACTTTTTATCAGTACATAATCTATTATTCATTTTTATTTGTGAATTTTTCATTTACTTACTGTTGTTGTGCTTTGGTAACCCTGTATAATATATTTTAAATTCATTTGACCTTTGTGTCACAAATAAATAGGAAAACGTTTTTACTTTTTATGGATCGGAAATAATACTTTACTTCGAGGAAGGCTTGTTACAGTTGAACTCTAAATTAAAATTAGGATGAGTGAGTGATTTCTTCATCTTGTTGAAAAATGTAACTTGGCATTTAGAATGTTTTACTTATAATTTTGCGTGTTGAAGCGGAAAGGCTTATTATCTAAAGAGCTGACTTTACTTGCTTCTTTTGAAGGAATGAGCGTTGATCCATTTTCAGTGTAGTGAGTCAATAATGTCTTAGTACAACTCATTTAAGCGGACAATATTGTTTTAAATTAGACCTCATCAGTATTAACTCTAATATACATAACTTTATAAATAAACATTCAAATATAAACCATCCCTGGTGTTTTGTCAGTATGATGATAAGTTTGTTTATACAAATCGTGCAAGCAGTCATAAAAATAACAGTGGTAATAATGGTTCTGCAGTAACGAAGATGAAAAAGTAGAGAGATCTTTGATAAAAAGAATGGTGAAAAACAGCATGATTAAACAAACAAACGTTAAGGTAGAAGTAATCGATGAAGACTACGAAAAGCAAATAGACCTGATAAGTAATGCTAGATTGTAAGTGGAGTAAATAAACTATGTTTCAATGAAGGTGTAATAAGATTAAAGGATGGTGACAGTGGTTGAAAATATAAATAAGAGGTGGTGGTGACATTATCACTCAAGGGATGGATAATGGCTGTACGAATTTCTTTTGAATACATAACTTAAACTGTATAGTTCTGACGCCAATCGCGTCAGCTGTGTGAAGCAGATGGATACGAAGTCTATTAGAAAGATTAGGTGGGATACCATTAACTATTTTGAAAGCTGTTGTTTTCTCCACTACATGACCACTATTAACTAAATGTGTTAAAATTGGGCTACGGGTTGTTTTTGTCTGTCCATTGCCAAACCACGATGGGAGATGTTCAGTAACATGTTGGCTAGGCTGTTTGGAAGTGCACCCAACATAACTGCCATCGCAGGTGCAGTTTAGTTGATAAATGCGCTTAGATGTGATAAAACTATCTAGCTTATCCTTCGTTTGTGTTCCAATTATTCATCGGCTAGAACATGACAAACATAGGTTTGCTGCATAAAACGTTCTTCGTATACTCATGGAAAGTCTCTTGAATAAAATTTCACTTGACAAGTCCCTATTAAGTTGCACCTTAATAAATAGAGGTTTTCTACATGCAGTCAAAGTCTCAAGTTTTCACTCAAATGTTTTAATATGTTTTTTTATGGAACTACTGGGATAGCCCATCTTCGTCAAGGAATCATGAATATATTCAAATTTCTTTTTGTAAGTAGTCATCCGCATATATCTTTCTTGCTCTCCTAGTAAGATATTTAACAACAGTTCTTTTATATTCAGTGGACACGTAACTAAGTAAGTGTGTGTATTGTCCTGTGATTATTTTTTTTCTATATACGCCTCTCCCAAGTGACCAGTGTTCTGGTCTACTTAGCAAGACGTCCAGAGAATGTAGTTTGCTGTTCTGCTCCTTTTCACAAGTATAAGTAAGCGAAGGGTGGATATTATTGAATTTCATCAACAATTCGTCCGTTTGCATTCTCATCAACGAACATAAGTGCATCATTGGCATAATTGTAATACATATCAAACTCCTTGATGATGTCTCTCGATTCCCCGACTTCAGGTTTTTCGAGGAAGAAGTCGGCTAATGTTAGGCCTAATGGGGAACCCAATAGCATTTGAATCTACTTGTCGGTTACATGAATCACTGAAGACAAAGTGCATATTCATTGTGCACTTAAGGAGTAATTCTTTGAGGTTACACAAGGGAATTCCTAAGTCCAATAAAAAATTTGTATCGAAATGAAAATTTTGATTCCCCTGTGTATCCCAATAATTTTTCTCTACATTTCTGGTATATCGAAATGGAAAAATGGCTAGTATATCTGGGCTCTCTGAGTTAAGGTCTTGTTTAGTACTAAAATACTATGACTAATACTTACCTCTAGTTCCTGAAATAAATGCAGACAACGAAATATCGCACAGTTAAATTCAAATTCAATAAAATAACGAGACTGTGCTGTCATAAATCATACTATGCAATTTGAAGTGAACTTCACAGGGGTTAAGCAACACTCCACATCATAAATTCTATGCTTACCTAACCATATGTAGCAAATATAAAATTGTTTTCGAAAGGTTATCGTTTGTTCACCTTATTCAGTAAAGACGCAATGAATCTAGTATATCTGATTATTACTTAATTTGTCTGCTACAAAGAAAATGCTCTCGGAAAGAGGGCGATGTTTGGGGTGTTGCTTTCGAAGAAATGATTTTGATCTCTTGTGCCTGAGTGGAAATAATGAATAAATTTGAAGAATTTGAAAGAGATTAAGAAGACAGGTGTGTATGTGTCTGAATCTGTTTCGGTTGATATTAAAATTTCATCACCTGTGTATTTAAGCATTCGATTATTTTACGTTTCAGTAATCGTAAAATGTGAACGTGACACGTGCATATTATAGTCCACCCAATAAATATTTCCTTTTCGATCTTTAATAACAACTGACTCATAATTCTTTCCAACTTGCGCCACACATGAGCTAGGAAAACGGAGGGATATTTAAAAAACCTGCACCATCAAGATGCATAACGTAATAATGCACAGTGAAAGGAAGGACATAGTGATTTTCAGGAATTGGAAATATACAGGATGTTGACGCGACAACATGTTGTGGTGTATGAGACTAATTAGGTTATCCATTTCGCAACAGTAATGGATTCGTGACAACTAGTGCTTGAATTTCATCAGCAGCAAATATATTATGTTTTAAGTTTTGTTGTTCAACTGCTATAATCTTGTGTAATTTGGTTATAGTTTACAAATTCCTCTGCCTTCATCCTTTTTTGATATATTTCAGATATTATTATTATTCAAAATCTCTGGTCCAGCTAATCGTTGTTGCTATAGTGCTGCAAATATTTCAACGTGCCCTCACTTTTCAGAATACATTAGAACACGTCTGCTAATAATGGATTTTATGAGCTGTCCCACATCAATTTGTTTCAATATATGAGTTTCGCTTTTTGAAATTTGCTATGTGCAGTATCAACCTTTTGAACTGAATGTGGGGTACTCTTACATGAAGAATCATACTGGATTTTTGGTTTTCCTGTTTCACGATAACTCACAACCTGAAAGCTTAGTTTGTAATACACGTTTAAACGGCTGTTTTTCAAACATTATCTGATACAAATCTTATTACTAGACCAGTGGACAACATACGTTTTTTTTGGATAACTGTCTGCCTAATGAACCGGTGTTTTCTGAAATATACGTGAGTATAGTGGGTAAAAGCCAGATATCGATTTCGATTGGTTTCTGATTATGAAGGTTAGATGAAATGCAAGTGTGTGGCTGTACAATGGATTCCCTTATTTCATTTTGTATGAATGTAATAATCTAATCACGAACTAACCAAAACAACCTGAAAACAAATCATTCAATTTAATGCTTTAATATTTTGAGAGCAAAATCATATGCAATCGTCAAGCGAATAACATACAAACAATCTCAATGGAAAACTTTCATCCTCTTCGTCTTTAAGGTGTAACGTGAAGTGTTTTGGTTATCTGACAATTGATTATTTGCCTTTAATAATTGGATATAAAACTAGTATATAAAAATGGCATTTTAATAATAATTCTAGTGTTGTGAAAAACCACCAAATATATTACTGAATGTGAGAAATTGATTTGGTTAACTTTAATAAAATTTGCCACGCTTGCGATTCCTTAATGCAACTTACAGTCAAACATCCATCTGCGTTCTAATAATAAACAATTTTCGGATAAACTGTACATCATTTCTTACAGTTCAGTTAAGGTGAACTATTTTCAGACTGTCACTAAATGAATTTAACTGGAGGTAAGATGTGGTATCTCAGATTATATGACATTCAAGATGGCATCATGAAAGTCGCTATTCTAGTTGCATACAATCAGACATTAACAGCAGTATTCATTTCCACCTAAATTGCGGGGAATGCAAGCAATTATAGTAACAATGAAATTTACTCTGACGACTTAATAACTTCATTTCAACGTCTACGGTCATAAAGACTACTGTTCTAGTAAATAAATTTGAGGATAGTGAAGAAACCTTAGGTGGGCAAAACAATTTTGCAATTCAGAATTTAGCCTCATGTAAATCCGAATGAGAACACTGGCGAAGAGTTGAAGATCACCCTCAAAAACCTAAAACCGACGGTGATTCCACAGTAGTCACATTTCACGGAAGAAATGTAAAATTTACATTCAGTCATTTTAGCAGCAAAGAATATCGTTGGATTTCAGATAATCGGTTAGTTAGGTATTTAGGTAAATTATACAGCGTTGACACAAGATTCACTTCGTGTGATATGGGTAGTACTTTACAGATATGTTCCACGATTGTTATACAGGCGATGTTATTACCCCTTGGATATGTTAATTTAGTTGGCCAGGTAACGTGGTACTTCATCTAAATATGACTACACCTTAGAATGCATAAAACATTAGGATGTACATGTTTGTGGATATTCACCATGTATACGTTGCTTGATTATCGTTAATTTCAAATAAAGCACTTACCTAGATCACGAATGGCTTTCTCTGTAAAACAAGCAACAGTTATTATCGTAGCCAGGACGTCCAGCTCGTGTATCAGTTGAACGTTCTGCATACAGTATTAAGTGAGTAACATTATATGTGTCAGAATGAGAGGAGATGTCGCTAAAGTTTTCGTATCGTTGTGTACTAATGTTTTCTTTAATTTTTCGGAAAGAAGGCTTTATGATACTGTAGTGAATAGTAAATCGCAGTGCAACTACGATAGGAGCACAAAAGTGGGGCAGTTTTACAGATCGATTTCATCGGCAGGAAATCAGTTAGTGAACATGAAAGACTGAAAATTAAGGAAGCTCCACAGTCTGGCAACACCACTGAGATAATTAATAGTTTGTAGGATAAATTGTAATAACAAAATGTAAAGCAGGTTGTGAAATAAATAAACACGCGGCTTGAAATAAATGTTTCGATTATCGTAAGAGTATATTTTAGGCAGTGCAGTAGAATTTAACCTCATATTAGGTAAGTTTCTTTGATGTAACACACAGTGATACAGTAACACTGGCGAGATGACGTTTGCAGTACAATTTACTGCTCAAAGTCATATCAGTAATGATGATTCTCATCATAGAGACTTTCAAGAAAAGAATCATAACAATTGTTTGTAAGGAATACAGATTGTCATATCTGCTCTGTCAAAATTAGTATGTTTGTTCATTTTTCTCACAAAAACAACACATTTTTAAATAAGCTGGAAGATTTTAGAGCAGTGATTTGTTGAATGTCGTATTACTAATAAAGCTGGATGTACACCGCGCTTACGTCTTGAAATTTTATTTCCAATACTTTTTTAACAATTAACTAATGTGAATTTTAATAGACGGTTTCAAGAACTCACCTAATTTCTCGCATAGTTCTTTTAATTCTATAATGAAAGTGAATTAGCAATTAATTCTTGAAGATGATCACATGAAGAAATGTGATACACTTATTCGAAGGGTTGCCGTATTTTTTTATGCACACTACAACAATGTATATCATATTTTACTGCGCTGCCAATCATTTTTTACTAAGTACTAAGAAGACGTGAAAGGCGTTCATTGTCAACCTAAACCAAACCATCTCGACAGCGAAAGATACTGCCAAGTGTGTTTTAGTATTATATCTTGGAGAAAAGTAAATTAATTTTAAATTCATTAGATACCCTCCAATGAAAATGCAAAGTTAAACTGAAATAATAACTTTAATAACTTCTAAATAAGCAAAACTCTTTCTCTATTTGAAATCAGCGGTATGTAACTGCTCAACATGAACCACAATTGTGACTGAGATGAACAGTGGTATCATCGATTGTATTGAATTCACAGCGGTTATAAATACATTTAATATATGTTCTTCATGAATATAACAAAAGGAAATGCGATGCACTAACGAAAGTGAAAAACACAAAGCAGCTTAAATAAAGGTTTCACCTATTTTCATTCATTCTACAAATTTACCGTTTTATGCTATTGGTCGTTGTTTGGAATGATAATTAGATTTGCAGAAAACGATGCACTGCTGCTATATAGGTGATGTAGAATACAATCATAATGGCATTCAACAAGGTAACACACCATTTGATTTGCTTAGTATTTGGCGCATAAGGCTTACGTCTGGATATGTTCAAAATTATTCAAAAGCCGTCTTTATAAAATTAACTATTGTTTTTTAGCCTGTCGGTTTGCAGATATATTCGTACTGTTTCGCTTTTTTTCATTGCCTTTAAGTTACGGGCAAGTGAAATATGTTCAACAATATTCGATTATACTGCATACTGTATTTTTCGAAACTATTTACTATTATTTTATATTCATGTGAAAAATCATAGTGTGAACAGTTATTTTACAGAAGGAGCGGGTGATGTCTTCGAAGTTGTTCTATTTCGGTAAGTGGGAATTCGCTAGAAATTCCCAAATATCGTTGAAGACGTGGTTGAAGATAAAATCCAGATACATTCAACAAGTTCACAATGTTGTATTCAAAAAGTTGATAACATGAAATGTCTTTAGTATTGCATCACTCCAATATTTACAGAATATCGTTTTAGATTAAGCATACTTTTTTCTCCGGCATCTAGTTGGCGAATTAAAAATACATAAAATACAAGTGATATCATTCTGTACTTTTCCCTATCTTAGTGTCTAACTGTAACTTTTTTGTTTTTAAAACAGGAGTTTTGAAGTTACATGAGGCTTATTGTTTACTCTACATATTTGAAAATAAGAACAAACAGTTCAGCAAATTCATTCCCTTAGATGCACATTTGCGATTAAATATAACTATTTTTGTATGTTCAAGTGTTGGTTTGTAGGGATTTGATTGGTTTACAGGAGTTCATCATGAGCTGACATCAGTTAGAAAGCCATTGAAAAACCTGGGAGTACTGGACAGCTGTTTCGTTCTAGTTTGGGACTCTTCAGCAGTACGCACCCACCAGGGTTCAAACCCAGGACCTTCTGGTTACAAGACGAGCTCGTATACCATTAGGCCACTGGGACCCAATCCAATGGCCCATGAATTCTAACTTCTACCAATTTACGACATAGCGCGACTCCTAGCCAATGTCTTCGGCGAGTGTTTGTCCTCAAACCCGACCTGCTGCACCCTACTGGTCGCGACTTCTCACTGGAACCCAAGGTATTTACCTGAATAGGGCAACAGCCAGACGAGAATAAAAACTAGTTTGGGTTATTGCTTATGTTATCAGAATATTTAAGAAATATGATGAGCAGTCAAAATTGTAACATAGGGGTTAATGGTGATGATGAGTAAGTATAGATTATTAATATTATATGACTCTAGTTTATATTTACTAATCTTCACCATCAACCCTAAGTTACAATTGTGATTATCCATCACATTTCTTAAATGTTTTGATGACATAAGCAATGACTCAAACTAATTTTTATTCTTGTTTGGCAGACATAGTATTCTAAAACATACGAAAATGATTGTACAGTTAAGTGAATGAAATCGTGCAAAAGAAACTCTTTGCTGAACTGTCTGTTTTCATTTCTGAAATTCAATGCAGATTCATCGACAGAGATATTGAGGAACCACCTGTTCCTCTCATTGGTAAAAACATCTTTCACGGATGAACTTCAACCCACTTCCTTTAGGCAACGTGAAGGATAAGCTGTAACTGCTGGCCTCATTAAAGTGCCTGTCAGTGTGGAACTAGGTATGTTGGCCATACTCAGAGTTTGCTATCCAAACGTATCATCAAACACTTACGCTTATAGTCTTTCGAAGGAGAGAAGAGATCCCCCAGCAGCTCTATTCTTCTACATCTAGACACAGACAGAACTCGTAAATCAACTTCAGAGTCATATAAAGATTGAGCGGAAAGTTTGCTCAAGGTGAACAAATCAATCTTCTTCAAACCTCAGGAGCAGTAGCAATTCACATGTTAAATCCTGAACTGAAGAAGTTTGTTCAGTCAATAATTCTAAAATGGACCTGATCTGTCTAAATACCAAATATGTAAATTTTGTTTTCTGTTTTTGAATCGTATTATTTTCTTCCCTGAACTCCTGTTTAATATCTATCCCTTTTTACCATTGTTACTAATTGGGCCCTCGTTCAGATTTTAGCTGAATTCTACTCAATCCCGTTAATTATATCACGTCACTCAATTTACTTATCTAAATTTTTTTAGTTTCTGCCCGAATGACGCTTTTTATATCGCACAATTTGTCATCTAAAATCTACAATTCTAATGATACAGTTTTGGAAATATTTCTTTTTTTGCTGAGACAATTTACTGCTTATATGTCACTTACCAGTTTGAGAATGATCTCAAAGAAAAGAGTAACTTCTTGCTGAATGTCTTTGTTTTGTGCAACTCTGTGGGGACGTTTCATTTGTTCTTACCTCAATGTCTACAGATATGGAACACAGCACTTTCACTTTAACACTTACTACCTCTGACCACGGATGGGAATAGTAGTTGTGCTGATTACTGTGATATCTGAATTCTTTGATTGCATGGAGGATTTGATCATGAGCTGACATCAGTTAGAGAACCACTGGAAAACCTGGGAGTACTGAACAGCTGTTTCGTCCTAGTTTGGGACTCCTCAGCAGTACGCACCCACCGGGATTCGAACCCAGGACCTTCTGGTTACAAGGCGAGCTCGTAGACCATTGAGCCACTGGGACCCGATCCAATGGTCCTTGAATTCTAACTTCTGCCAATTCACGACATAGCGCGACCAATATCTGAATTCATCCTGGAAGATGATTTCACAATTACTCCTTCGCAGATATTTTAAGCCACAGCTATAGAGATGTTGACCAAGCACCAAGGACATTTGATAAATTAAGCAACTTTGATTGACTTACATTTGCTCACTGTTGTGATGGAGAAAATTTATGAGCAGGCGACATGATTTCGCTTGTTTGTACTACATATATTATTGGGAAAGTAATAAAAAATCAGTTTCTCGCTATCTTCGAATGAATGTTACATTTTTCGTAAAAAATTTCCTGACTGGATCATCAAAATGTTTATCCCTTCTTTATTCCATAGCACCTGAAATACAACTCATTTTGATATTTATAAAACACAAAATAATTGAGCAAAGAATATCCTTTTTGATAATTTTCTCTTCTAGCTCTACAACTATATATAAATATGTTTATATACATAGAATATTCTACATTAGTAGTCAAAGACAATAATATTGAGTTGTAAAGTGAGGTCAATGGAATTACAGTTTATTAAAGATGCTTAAATTATAATAATAATAATAATAATAATAATAATAATAATAAAATATATAGTAGCAAATAGTATGTCAACTTAAATTAAGGAAATTTCTACAAGGAAATTGAGGATCATTCAAACCTGGATGGCCAAGGTAAGGATAATGTCTGAACCAACTTCTTTTCGATGCACAAATTAGACTGTTGCGGTCCAGATTAAGAGGCCTAATTTGTGCGTCCAAAGAAGTTGGTTCAGACGTTATCCATACCTTGGCCGTTCAGGTTTGAATGATCCTGAATTTTTGTGAAATGTTTCTAATTTTAGTTTATATTCTATTCGCTAATATATCTTTATTATTATTATTATAATTTAAGCATGTTTAATGAACTGCAATTCCATTGATCTTACTTCACAAATCGATATTATATAAAAAAACACTAATATCGTTATTGGCCACTAATCTAGAATATTCTATGCATATAAACATGTATATAATTGTAGAGCCAGAAGAGAAAATCATCGAAAAGGATATTTGTTGCTCTTTTATTTTGTGTTTTATAGATGTCTAAACGAATATTTTCTCTGTTTTGATACTTGCCAACACTAGAAACTTTAGGGGTATAAGATCTTACACTGATAACTGTTTTATTGAAAGCGGTCCTGATGTATTTTCACACATTCACTAGCTTAAAGATAACTAAATCCTACGTAATAAAGCAGGTGTAAACCAAATATAAAGAAATTTGTAAAAATAAGGCAAGTTTCTTCACTTACATGTTGCCCCTATTACGATGTGAAGTATGAAAGAATAAAGAAATAGGCTTCATTACGTATCATAGAACTGTTATTGAGAAAGCAGTAATAAGGCAGTTTCTTCCTGTCTGCAAATGAATTTTACCTTTGTCTACGAAATTTCCCGACTGCTTCCTGACTGATTAACACAAACAGTGGAAACTTCCCCACCCCATCTTTCTACCGTGCGTAGAACTCCAGGTTCTACGACTTTGGTAATAATTTTTTGTTTTTTTTCAATTTTCGCATGGCATTTTAGTAAAATCTAGCCAGCTGACCCCTTATTTACTCTTTCTGCCCATTACATAATTTAATTTTTGGGTACGTGTCTTCATTAACATCCTATTTCACATTACGCCACCCTTGGCAGTACTTACCGTTTTTCACCCCTCTAGTTACAATTTGCATTATTCATCACATTTAACAAACACTTATGTGATGTAAACAGTAACCCTAACTGATTATTATATTACTTTTGTTTGACATTCCTTATGTAAACCTACAAAATAACTATTTATGAGCTACGTTTGTGCAGCTTAGTGAGTGAATTCGCCGATTAGGGACTCTTCATTGAAATTAGTTGTTCCTGTGTTTCTCAGCGAATTAAATCGGCTTATATCTATATCGTTAGTAAATTGCTAAACGTATTCACTTTGATTGTTTCTATATTACATCAGCTGAGATGATATTTTCACCACAAAATAGCATGCCGAATCCATTGATAATTTCTACTTTCCTCCGAAGCAAATCATTTTCAGCGATATTTACTTTTCGATGAGATCCTCATCTCTGGCTCTACTCCAACACACAAAGCATTTTTATTACAATGCACAACAATTTACCAACCATGTGGCGATATGTTTGTTAACAATAATTAGTCAGTGTCAACATGTCAATGGGGTGATAATTAACGAAGAAAACCAATACACACAATTAAAAGGTAGAAGTGATTACAGCACGTGGATTGCACAATGCCTAATTTTGGAAAAATGAAGAGTACTTAAGGAATAAGCGTGTGCACAGGTTGATTACGTAACAGATCGTTAAAGAAAATAAAACGATTTGGATAATGTTAACTTTTAACTAGGGTTCAAGTGGTCATGAGAATAAAACAGTTTTACAAGCATAACATGTAATTAAAGAATAAGTAATCAGAGAAAAATCAAATAATTTGGACATTTATACTTTTTATAATTTTTTAAAGGTTTAGGGGGAGGGGGTGAAGCAGTCCTGTTTATGAATTCTTGTGACGATGGCCACGGTAGGGAAAGTGGCTATACAAATTTCTTCTGAACACACAGGTTTGGCTTCTTCAGGTGGATTCCTATTCCTTCAGCTGTATGTAGAAGACGAACTCGTAAAGCAAAATTAAGGTTATTAGGAATCCGATAAATAATTTTAAATGCTATAATAACGCCATCAAAGGATACCGCATACTTGTCACTCACATTAGGACATCTTTGTTTTCCGACAAATTTAAAACTGTATTTATTAGAGTAGATCCAGAAATGAGGATCTAATTGAAAAGTAAATATTACTTCGTTAGTTATCACCTGACACTGACTAATTATTGTTATCAACCATATTTTCGATAGTTTGGTTTGTAAGGGTTAGTTATGTTTTACGAATTGACCACGGATTGATATCAGTTAGAGAACCATTGAAAACCAGGGAGTACTGGACAGCTGCTGTTTCCCCCTAGTTTGGGAATCATCGGCAGTACGCACCCAATGGGATTCGAACCCAGGACCTTCCGGTTACAAGGCAAGCAAGCTCGTGTACCATCCAGCCACTGGGACCCGATTCAGTGGCTCATGAATTCTAACTTCTGCTGATGATTCCCAAACCAGGATGAAACAGCAGCTGTCCAGTACTCCCTGGTTTCCAATGGTTCTCTAAAAAAGCATATTGCCACTTGATTGGTAAATTGTTGTATATTTTAATAAAAATTCAAAACTACCTTTTCCGCTGTTTTACCATTTCTTTATGCAGAGGTTTTAGGAGCTTGACTAATCATTTTTCTGTTGCGTGATATGGGGAATTACACATGTCCAACACAGGTCAAATTGACAAACCGATTTTATGCACTTTTGGTAGTCCATATAATCTTGGGTAACCGTGCCAGTAGGCTTTAGAGATTGGTAAGACATAGAGTAATCGGTAGTTTTGGATTTGTGGGAAAAATAAGAGATCTTAGTGTCAGTGACAAGTTTATGATATCTACCATTAATGGAGGCAGTGGATTTTATATGTGATGTGATTATCACGCGAAACATAGACATCGACATTTTTGCATCTTCCTTGAAGGAACTTATTTTAAGATGTAAGATGATTTTTCATTTCTTGTTCAATAGGAAGCATTGCAGACAAACTGATGGTGTAGCTATGGGTTCCCCATTAGGTTCAATCCTAGCTGAGTTTTTCCTCGCTAAGTTAGAGAATGGAACACTCAAAGGCGTAATTAATCACTTAGATTTCTACTCTCGATACTTGGATGATACATTTCTGGTCATGATAAAAGAGAATGATGCAACGAACATTCTTTTCATGATCATTCAGCAATAAACTTTACCGTAGAGAAAGAAAGTAATGACAATACCTCATTCCTAGGCGTCTTCATGGCAAGGAAAGAAGATGGCATACAAATAAGGAGAGTGTATAGGAAATCCACAACACTCATTTTTTGAGTTTTGTGCCTTTAAACATAAACGTAACTTGGTAAAGTATCTGCTTCATACGCTGGGTTGGTCTGTTCAGACGACTGTCTCAATGAGGACCACAGGATTATTAGAGAATTACCATTGAAAAAACGGTTATCCAGATAAGTTCATTGAGAAAAATATGAATTCAGCACTTAGGAGAGTAAGTATGGCAACAGTTCCGAAAAAAACCACTGTTCATATAACTGCATTTCCTCGGTGGCTACGTCAGCAAAATAATAACACAGCGTCGGAAGAATGCAGTTAAAAGAGCTTATTATTTAGCAGACGTACATTGTCTCTTCACAACCACCCCTACTCTGCGTTCGAGAAATAAGGATAAACTACCTAAATTTGCCTCTTCTATGTGTATCTACCAATTTGACTGAAGCTGTGGAGCCAGCTACATTGGGCGTACGATTAGACAGGTTCATCATTGTGTTTCCTAACACGATTCAGCATGTTTAGGCAAGGGAAAAACAAGATCTATTCGTAACTCTATTTTAGCACACCATGTAAACAGTGGGCATAAGGTTGACGTTAATACTGCATTTAAAATTATTTATCGGATTCCTAATAACCTTAATTTTGCTTTACGAGTTCGTCTTCTACATACAGCTGAAGGAATAGGAATCCACCTGAAGAAGCCAAACCTGTGTGTTCAGAAGAAATTTGTATAGCCACTTTCCCTACCGTGGCCATCGTCACAAGAATTCATAAACAGGACTGCTTCACCCCCTCCCCCTAAACCTTTAAAAAATTATAAAAAGTATAAATGTCCAAATTATTTGATTTTTCTCTGATTACTTATTCTTTAATTACATGTTATGCTTGTAAAACTGTTTTATTCTCATGACCACTTGAACCCTAGTTAAAAGTTAACATATCCAAATCGTTTTATTTTCTTTAACGATCTGTTACGTAATCAACCTGTGCACACGCTTATTCCTTAAGTACTCTTCATTTTTCCAAAATTAGGCATTGTGCAATCCACGTGCTGTAATCACTTCTACCTTTTAATTGTGTGTATTGGTTTTCTTCGTTAATTATCACCCCATTGACATGTTGACACTGACTAATTATTGTTAACAAACATATCGCCACATGGTTGGTAAATTGTTGTGCATTGTAATAAAAATGCTTTGTGTGTTGGAGTAGAGCCAGAGATGAGGATCTCATCGAAAAGTAAATATTTCTCCGCTCATTCTCTCCGTCTGATTTACTAACAACTGCATATTTTATGATAATATTTCTATTTTGTAATCTATAGTAAACTGTATTCTACATTCTCTTTCAATGTTAATAACGAACTAATATGTTTACGGAAGGCATTTTTTGTAGGCGGTCAGCACTTACGCTCTTTTTCTATATAAAATTTGTTTATTATAACAAAAACAGCGCATTTCAAGGCAATATTAAACAATAATTATTAGATAAAAATAAACACATTTTGAATAGATGAAGTCGATGAATAGTGTGAACATCTATTTTTTACCTGCTAGCAGACATTATTTGAATAAGATATAGACTGTCAAATCAATTTACGCCATGATATATAATCTACTTCATATCATGAACAAAAATCAATAACGCGATGGTGGTAAATGCCAGAGACGTAAATGAGAATATGAAGGACACTCACGTCCATCTATGAACTAATAATCTTGTTTGATCAAATGCATAATGTTCGGAAAAAGTTTACTTCGGGCTGTAATACATCATAACACTTATTCATGTACGATACCTGGTTAAAATAATGTAATGTAAATAGGAATTTATTGGAACAGGTCATACGAGCAAATATACCTCAAAAGCTATGACAAGTACATATATATGCAGTAAGTATAAGTCAGTGAGAGCAAATTTTCAAAATAATTTTAACTGAAAACTTTACATGTTGTTCACTGACAGCAAAATTAAATTATACATAAACAATGATCCTCGACTTTAAATGTCAAGTGCTATTTAGTGGACTCTTAGTCTACCTCATGAGCGAATCAAATAGTGTCTAGAGATAATAGACGATGAAAGCTCCGCAATTAAACCAAGGAGCTCAGAGAACACTATCAATTCCAAGTGTCTAGAGATGATAAATTTTAATTATTCAGGTGCATGATTCGAAGTCTAATAAACATTCTCTGTTGAACAATGTCAGCCAATGCAGATTCAATGTGATTGATTACTCTAGTTCCTTCTGTTATCCATCAGTTTTTAACTTTTAATGTCACTTCCAACAAAAGTGCTACTGATCTTTCAAAACAAATTTGAAGGTGAATAGAATGACAATTTGTATTAAATCTGTTGTTGAGTGCTCATAAAGGATAAATCCTTTCGATGGTTTGGACACGTTAAATGTAAGCAGTATGTCTACAAATGCATATATCTATAACTCTTCACATTAATTCAGGGAAAACTTACTAAGATTTTCTTGAATTTAATAAAAGTGAACGAAGTGAATCGGAATTTTAAAGTTATTCGGAAATATTCGTCACCAATAACTTCCCATGAATAACTGGTGAAGTGAGGATGGTTACCAAGTACACTGAATAAGAAACAATATTCACTTCAATTATGGCTACTGTTACTATTCTAAGAGTAGTCGATAACAGGATACTACGCTTAGTATTCAAGTATAAATTCAACTATAGGTATTTCCAGCGTTGGCAGACTTACTTCATGCAAACGTACCCGTAATAATAACATATATTTAGCATGTATGTATCGTGTCTAATGAAATATGAGTCTCAATCATCAGCAATTTTCCTGTTTATGTACATTTAGTGTTTTCTGTGGTTTATATCAGACGACCGTCCTTCAAGAAACTGACTGTAGCCTTTTTCCTGCGGTCCAAGTGATGAATCGTATTAATTACTTTGATTCAGGATATGCTATGAACCAGAAATGCTCGTCTGAAAAACGTAGTAAATAATGTAATTTATAACTGACTCCAAATCGCTCTCATCACGAAACAATCAACCAAAGTATGCTTTAAACTGTCGCTCTCAGCCATTTGAAGGGAAATTTACTTGATTTATGCTGACTTAGTATGCACAAATCCCACAGGTGAATGAACTGACAACTTAAAAATGTAGATTAGTTAATACATACATATATCTATATGTACTAATTAAGGACACATTGAATGTTTAGAATTTGTAGTTGAATTATATTCGCCTAGTAAGTAAAAATGCATACATCCTATTTTGGACCTAAATACATCGAAATTACTGTTGATTTATATTCACTTGCGGGAAAGTTAAACTTTCGACATCACTAGCAACCAATCAGCAGACGACCTTGAACGGACCAATCACATTAAATAGGCATATATGATGAATGGAAACGCATATTTATAGAAAAAAGCATAAAGAAGGATAAAACGGTTACAAGGAGTATCTTTCTCGAATATGTGAGAGAAACATCTCCCAGTTTAGCATGTGACTGTCAGTAGCGAAGTCATATCTCATACTGTACTTATATTCATCTGAACGGCTGTAAATGAGATTCTTTTCAGATCCATTTATAGCCCTTATCTTGTTTTTCAAGTGGCCCCGAAAACCTTCAATGGAATTTGTATGAGTCCTCGTAACGGGATCCACACAGCAAACAAGTGATTGTCTCTATTTCACACGAAGCAATATCTCTGTAATGCTGGTACCACTAAACTGTTGAGACATGACTATTCTCAGTCTCGGCAGCTGCTGCTCTCACCGGCTGTTTCAACACCCAGTAATTGCAGATATACAAAATCTGGGTTAGGGAGAGATGTGACCTAGTGGAAAAATTTTCCACGAAATATTAAAATTATCAGCTTACCCTCTCTAATATTAGCATGCTTCAAACATATAGCACAACGATGAACAAACCCACCAGTTGATCTGCTATAGCTTTTTAAAGTCATGATACCAACAAAAGAACAAGTTCGCTCCTTCCGGAGCAATTTAAATCCAGGCAATACTGGAAAACACTAACATCCTCAAATTGCAGCGGTAACCTTGTAAGGCCACGCATTAGAAATGAACCAAGCGCTCTACAACATTTTATTACGTTCGTGAATCTCATTGGATAATTCGACATCGTTCGTAAATGTCATTGGATAATTCGCTGATTGGTAGTTAGTGGTGTCGAAAGTTTAACTTCGCCTCACTTGCTAGACATTCTCACACATCTCAGTGTACTTTAAACACCACCAATGCATCCAAATAGCGTGTGACTATCACACTACACTCACACCAAAAAAATTAACACGCCATTATATTATGGTAAGATAAGCCCTAAATCACACTGACTGTAAATTTCCGTGACAAAATAAAAAGATTGCCGCTTTAACTTATATTTTAGACCAATAGGAAGCCAGCTAGCCAATAGCCAATCAAAATCTGCCTAAATCTATTTTCCTAAAAGGAAAGAGGCATCTGTTGTCTACATAAATGTCGAAATGAAACACCAAACATTGAATAAGTATTTTATATTACATCAGAAGGAACCGATCAGTCAACAAAATGCAAAGGAATTAAATCGTACACTAAAAATGTCACAACTAAAATAACTTACTATTTTGACAAACTGTTAACAAACAAATGGAATTAGCTCTTAATGAACAGTAAATTCACATTCAAACAATACTACTTGTTGACCGAAAAAGGTTTATCCTCACGGCTAATAGTAGGAGGGTGAGTCATGACATGTTATGTGATAACATAGCAGCTTCCATAGGCTTAATAATAAGAAATGATTTACGAGGATTCTTTGGCACTTAACGACGGACAGGTTTGGTTTTCGAAAGGTAATGCATTTGTTTTCATTTCGTGTACACCGTGACTCAGCAGACAATATGAGATTAAAACACATATGTCTGTATAAAATTATTTGCCACTCATTGATTGAGATGTTTAGCTGCATACCACTCATATCAACCAGTAGTGCTACATAGCTACACCGAAGTTATCTAAACACCGAAAAGCCATTTAGCTCGTTTACCATTGACATCATCAGCCGTGTACCCTGTTTGACTAAGCTCAGAAAGCTAAATTAGCTTTACAGACAGGCTTAATTGAAACATCGCTTTTCTATTAGTTACAATGGTCACTTGTTCATTCGATGTAAACTTAAACTGCATTGCTTTCTGATGTACATTTGTGTAACAGTTACAAATTAAATCAGTTATAGTAAAATACAGAAATTTTTCGATAGACGAATATTTTTATTTTCTCACAGTGATATTTGGCGCAATATTCATTATAACTCACTTTGCTTAGCACTTAGCTTTAGACAATTTTGTGTGAATTAGATACTACATTTTGTGACAGTTGTCTTCACTTACTCATTTCTAAAGAAGGTAAATCTCGCGTGATCCAAACTATAACTTTAATCTTCATTTTTAATGAGAAAATTCCACATGAGTTTATGTTGTCTCTAACCGGCTGTTAGTTATCTTACTTTATACAGAGAATTATAATAAGGTCGCAAAAATTATATAAAGACAAACTCACTTGCAGCGTAACATTTACCTGAATGAATAATTTTGTTTATTTGGCTTCATATTTATCGAGACACTGTGAAAAGAAACATATCTACCATATTATATTTCCATTTCAACCCGTAATACAGGCATACTGTTAAAATGGCGACGCACTTGAGAACTCATTAACAAAGTTAGATATATTATGGTCGATTGACACTTCCAAGAGAAAAAGACAAATAAAAAAGTGTGCATCGATACTGAAAAACTTCAGTTATTCTTTCGAAAGGAGTATTCTTTGGATAAAAATAAGACGTAGAATGAAGTTTACTACTCACGTGCTTTTTCAATCATATCAGCTTCATTAGAGAGAATTTGCCAAGAAGTATTGTATGTTAATAAGTCTGTTAGTCGATAACACGAGTCCACAAGCATATTCGAAATCAAGATTATATCTCATCACCAATCACATCTACACATAAGTATCATTTTTTTGCAACTACAAAACTTTTCAATGGATTACTACACAAGGTGACTTTTCATTAGAAATAATATCTTGATGAAGCCAGTGGGAATACAACTAGCAGATAACTGACCAAGTGGCCTTTTTGTATTTAGAAAGATAAACGGCATGAGCTACCATCTTCAAACGCTTTACATGTTCCTTTCAGATCACAAACAAGGAAATATTATGTAAATGGTCTGAATTCAATATTGAAATCCGCGAAAAATTCCGCCATACGAAAATTCAATCGGTTACTTGGTTAGTTTGTTGCAACAAAAGGTTTTTGGATGAAAATCATCTGACTACTAACAGAACTTCTGGATAGACCTTAACAAAGAATTAAATGATGCTTTTGAATCCGTCACATGTGTTTATGTATCACTTAGTGATAATTTTAAA